TAATATATATATATATATATATATATATATATATATATATACATATAATTTTTACAGCGAACAAAACTGCACGTCCTGCTGCTCCCGACGAATACTTGATATCTCCAATCACTGGAGAACGTATACCTGCAAGTAAAGTCCAAGAACACATGCGAATTGGATTATTGGATCCACGTTGGGTGGAACAAAGAGATAAACATCTTGATAAGTTGGCTCAAGAAACAGTATTTGCACCTGGTACAGCGATTGAAGCCAGTTTGAAACAACTTGCTGAAAGGCGTACCGATATTTTCGGTGTCGGTGATGAAGAAACTGCTATTGGTAAAAAGATCGGAGAAGAAGATAAAAAGAAAGATGACAAAGTTACATGGGATGGACATACATCAAGTGTTGAAGCAGCAACTAGAGCAGCTAGAGCAAATATTACTTTGGAAGAACAAATTCATCAAATACATAAAGTTAAAGGACTTCTTCCAGATGAAGAAAAAGAAAAGATTGGTCCAAAACCTGCTAATCGTGCAGCTGAGCTGTCGCACATGGCAGCAGCTGCTTCAAAACCTCAAGCTACATTAAAGGCACCTCCAAAACCACCAGCTCCAAAACCAGTACCTGTTCCCACACAACCACCACCACCTCCTACTATGAGTATGCCTACTATGGGAATCCCTCAACCAATGATGCCGCAAGCACCGATGATGATGATGGCTCCTATGCCTCCGATTCGACCACCACCGCTTATGAGTAATTTTATTATTAATTAATTTTTAATGAAATGTTAGAAATCTCATAATCAAAGTTAATAATATCTTCTTTATCCTTTTTTGCATAATATTATTCTTGTTTTTTGTAACATAATGAATATCTTCTTATCATATATTCTGCTATATTAGTAGCAAGTCTGAGCGTTCAAGTACAAAATGTATTTGTAAATGTTATTAGTATTAAATTTTTCAATTTTTTTTTAATTATAAGTTATAAACATATATAATATATATATTAAATATCATCAATTTATTGTAAATTAAATGTTTTTATTTTTAGCACCAGCAATGTCGCCATTTATGCCAACACCACCACCTATGCAACCACCAATGACATCTGCTGTAACTATCTGCGAATTATAATTTTTAATTAATTAATATTTTAATTGTTTTAAAGTAGATTTTTGTGTGACATTTATTTTAATTGTTTTAAAGTAGATTTTTGTGTGACATTTATTTTAATTGTTTTTTAAGATTGGATTAAAACATGCTACTGAACCTATGGAGGAAGAACCTCAAACTAAGAAACTTAGAACTGAAGATTCATTGATACCAGAACAACAATTTTTGGCTAGAAACAAGGTATATATCAATGATTAAAATTAAAAAAATATTATATACAAACATACATAAAATATATATTTTATTTTTCAGGGTCCTATACAATTAAATATTGCTGCACCAATGATGACAGAAAAAGCAGAATGGAAATTAAATGGTCAAACATTAAATATTACTTTGCAATTAAGTGATACTGTGGCAACAATGAAAGCTCTTATTCATGAACAAACTGGCATGCCTCCTGGCAAACAAAAATTACAATATGAGGTATAATATAAGTGAAACTTAATAGTATAAATTATATTCGAATATTTATTCGAATTATATTTTTTTAATATTTTTAATTTCATATATAATGGTTATTAATTTTTTTTATAGGGAATGTTCTTTAAGGATAGCAATACTCTTGCATATTACAATTTAACATCTGGCAATATAATTAATCTTTTACCAAAAGAGAGAGGTGGTAGAAAAAAATAAAACAGAAAATTTTTAAATGTAATTATATATTTACTTAAAAGATTAAAAAAATCGATATATTAATAAAAATATTACAATTGCTTTTAATGAATAAAAAACATCTATAATATTAATAAATTTTCTTTTATTACATTTCTTTTAATTCCATAATTATAATAAGTTATGATTGTAATAAATTAATAATATATAATAAAATTTATGAATATATAAATATAAAATTATTTTTATTTATATATTTAGTTTTCATTTAAAAAATTGCACTTAGATCATCTTGTACTTTCATTAATAAGGCATTAGCAATATAACTAGCTATATTATTTAATAAAATATTAAAACAGCATTTGCAAATTATTTAAAATATTTATATATATTTTTTTATATTTATATTTTTATTTTAATAATATATAATTTCTTTAAAAAAGTATTGCTTTTTTATTTTATATAAGAGATTCACGATAATATATTCGATTCGAATATTTCTAATTAATATCTTCGATTCGTTATAATCGAAATATTTATAATTCCAATATTTGAAATTTAAAAGCAAATTTTTTAAAATTACACAAAAAATATTATATACAATTTTTTCAGAATAGAATTCTGTCAATATTTTAAGTTATAAAATATTCTAAATGTGACAATTGCTTTTATATTTTAAGCTAATATTATGCATTATTATGCATTATTAAACTTTTTGCTTTTGCTTTATTTTATGCATGTGTAACCTTTCATTTTGTACTTATTTTGTTTTTAATTTGTTCTATAATTTTCCGATAACGTACAACCATTGTTTTATATATCTAAAAATAATACAAGAAAAAAAATAATTAAATATATATTATTTGGAAAAATATAAAATTGAATTTTAATATATCACTTACTGATTCTGCATCATCATAAGGTCGACATATAAGTGTTGGTTCTGGTAAACATCGAGTTATTTCGTCAAAATTGCATTCATTTCGTAGCAAAGCATATTTCGCTTGATAGGCTGCACCTATCACAGCTGAATTAACAACTTCCTATTAAATAGAAATATTAAATAGAACAAAAATATTGAAAAAAAAATTAATAAAAATATAATTATTTTTTGAAATATTATTTTTGAAATAAGAAAATATTAATTGAAAGATGATACTTTATTATATTAATATAAAAATAAAAATAATTAAAATAGAATTACCGATATATATACAGGTGAATTAAAAACATCAGCAAGTACTTGTAATATAGCTTTGTTTGTAGATGCACCTCCAGTCGCAATAATACGTGTATTTGGTCCTATAAATAAAAGAATTATTATTACTCTGATTTTCTATTATAGAAAATACTATTTATTTCTAATAATTTATAATATTTTTAATTATTATATTAAAAAAATTGGAAAATTGTAGATATTATTTTATTATATTATTATATTATTATATTATTTTACCGATAACAAAACCAAAATCTTCAGCGTGAGCTCTTTTCGCAACGAATTGACCTTCGATTAAGGCTCTTACTTCGACTTCTTTTGAACTATAGCGCGAAATCTCATTATTCGCTTTATTGAATCTATGATCGCCAATAACAAATGGCAATATTTCTTGTGTGTCAAAGTATAAACCTAAATTTCCAAAATTACCACGTGGAGTACTTTCCAGCAATTCGTTGAAAATTTGCCAAGAGCTTTGTGCTGCGCTGTCACGTATTCTTTCGCGAGTTAGAGATCCATTTTTAAAGCTGAAAATTTAATAATCAATATAACAAATTTATTATAAATTCTTATTTTTTCAACTAAATCATATATACACATTTATATATACATATTTTATATATATTATATACATATTTCTACTTATCTACTATAATTTTTTCTCCAATTATATTAAAAAAATCTTATTTTATTGTTAAAATAATATTAAAAAAATATTACCAAAGTAATGCCATATAAGCTTTATCGTCAAGAGGATTGCAAAAAGTATGTCCTTCCAAAGCAGTTTTCGGTTTATTTAACCATAAAAATAAAGTATCACTTGTTCCCAAGCTGCAAGCAATATCTCCTTCTTTCAATCTCATTCCTACATAATAATAAATATATATACATCTATTATTTGTATATTATTTAATTATTAACTTATTTATTTATATGATGAATATTCTTAATTTACAACTTATCACAATAAAATCACAATAAATTTTACAATAATATATTTAAATGTATTCTTGTTCAAATTGAATTATAGCATATTTTACAGTTCATTAAACTTGTTGCAATTTGTTGAAATATTTTAATATACTGTATTCGAATATAAAAAAAAAACTGGTCGAAAGAAATTTGCATTTATGTATATTCTTGCGTAAAATGTAATCTCTCAAAAATCTCATTTAAATATAGAACTAATTTTAAATGATGTCATTTAAAATTGTACTTTAAAATGTAATTATCGAATTTTTAAGAAAAATATTAAACATATTACATATTTAAACATAACAAAATTATCTAAATAATTAACATTTTAATATATCACAGTTCTAATCAAATATAAATATAAAAATTATAAAAAAGAAAAAGAATAGAAATAAAAATTTAAAAAGATATATTGATAAATCAATTAAATCAAACGATTCAGAATTCATTCAACAGTTTCCTTAACAGTAAATTGCAAATTATAATTGACTCGAAAAATCTCATTAATCATTCCGTACGGGGAGCGAAAGTTTATACGTATCTATATACACCAATTGGATATGTATCTACATGAATATTCATGAGGGTATTCGGTACTCAAAGAATCGAGACTTGTTGTCAAAAGACGAAGTAGCGCGTATAAATTAATACTGTCAGTCAAATAAAAAAAAATTATTCATGCCAGATTAGCGATCTTGTATGCTTACCTATTAGAGAACTGGAATTGTCGCCTGTGAACGCAATTATCCGACATGTCTTGTCGAAGCCAAATCTTTCGACGAAATAGGACGAAATTGGCCCGATATCGGTGCCCGGAGAAACTGGTTTCCCAAGTTTTTTTCGTAAATCAAAACCGCAAGCCTGAAATAACGATTCGATGAATATCGAAAAAATAAAGCGAATATTGTGATTTGTATTAAAGAAATAAATTGTAATTAATATTGAGATTATTGAATTTTATGTGTTTTGTATTTTTGAAAATGAACTTATTATTAAGTTGATAATAATTTTGTAAATTAGAGAAGAATTAAAAAATTATAAAGATAATATTTTAATATACAATATTTCCACGATAAATATAAAAAAAATTTTTCCAATGTATGAATTTTGTTTAATATATATAAGCAAATGCTTCTTCATTAATTATTCTTGCATTAATTATAAAATTTTCTAACTTTCTATTTTAGAATCTCAATAAATTTTCCAACCGCAAATGTATTGAAAATTAAATTGAAATGGAATCCATAAAATTCAGATTTATAAATGATTACGAAATATTTTCGTGTAATATCACAGTTTTCCACGAAATTATCTTTGAAATGTTGAAGGAATGTTTATTTTTATTCTCAAATAAAAATATTTTATTATATTATATTATATTTTAATATATTTAAAGGTAATCTAATAACCATCAATAATATCATCTACCTCTAACAGAACGTCATCCCAATCTTTCGTATGAATATTTAATAAATTCATTCCAGAGCCATCGGACCAATCAATGGGTGCAAAATCTCCCAAAAACAAGGAAGCAAGAAAACTGCTAATCAAAGAGATTCTCTGAAAGAAATATTTAGAAACGATTTAATATAAAAAAAAAAAATGGTTACAGAATTTTATTTAAATTTTACTTCATAATGTAGAATGCGTATTAGTGACGTATATATTATCTCATTCTCATTGACATTATTAATATTAGATATCTTTGTAAATAGAAATTTTAGCAGCATTAAAAGGAATATTCTAAATATTCTAAACAAGCAATGCTTGATACAATTTTTATTAAAAATATCAAGACTGATCGAAATAAATAAAAGTAGTCAAAGTCATTGATATTGCGATCATAGAAAATAGTTGATATTAATAATTTATTTATTTTGTTTCTGTTTTTAAATAATATTTTAAATAATTTTCAAATAACAATTTTATTATATTTATTATTTTAATGTAATAAATTAAATATTTAATACACAAACTTAATCCTTAATTAGTAGTTTCTATCTTATTATCAATTATTTAAGAATTATAAGTCTATTTAATAAAGATTTTAAAAAACAGTCTCAAATATTCAACCACGATACGATTTACAAAAAATTTTTCCATTTATTTTATAACAAACAATTATTAATGACAATTCTAAGATTTATATCTTTGTTAGCGTTATAGCTTTTAATGTCACTAATTTTTTTATAATCGCAATAAAACGACCTAAATAGAAATGACATCGAGCTAGACGTTATATCTATTAAAAAAGAACAATTCAAACAGGTGAGTAATCATTGTTATCAGACTACCGTTAGTATTATGCATCTCTACAAAAGCTACGGATCACCAAACCATCATTCATCATCACACAAGTATAAAAATCTGAAATAAATGTAATGCACGTGTATGTGGAATAGATCCACACTTATCGAATACCTCGATCAATCGGCGTCCCGAAATTTGTTCAACGAAGCCGTAAGTGTAGTGGATATACCTTAGTAGAATTGTAGGCTTCCGGTTTGGTGCGTGCTATTTTCGCTATCTGAGGTCCTGAGAATCTTTCGTACGCTCGTGATCCCGTTATCTCTGCTAATTTCTGCAATAAGCCATTATGACAAATTGTATAAGAATAATTGATTAGCATATTAAATTAGCGTATCGATTAATTATGAATCAATTTGATTTTCGCCATTTTTACTAACGACACCTTCTGTCGGCATTATAATTTATGTAATGTTATAACATCGACGCTAGATGTCACGTCGACATGTTCTATTTAGACATCTATTATCGAGCAATAATTTTGTACAGACATTTTGTTCAGAAAATGAATGGATAAAAGTCAATAAAATATTATTTAATTAATCATTAAAAATCGGTCGACGTCGACTTTTTAATGAATATCTTGTGAAACAATATTAGGATCTCTTTTCTATTATATTTTTCTGTTTAAAACATTTGGTGAATATCAAGAAACATCGAGAAAAAATATATGAATATATTGTTATTTTTTCTACCATAAACCAAGGTAATCTTTTATCGAAAAAAATATTTTTTAGCAATTTTAGCAATTGCCAATTGATTCAAAACTTATTAATTTTTGTTTGAAATATTTTTTTTATTATATTATCATTTGTTCGAAAAATTATGTACATCAATTTGCTAAAGATTCTATATATATATATATATATATATATATATATATTA